TCTTTTGGAGCAGATCCGAGAGGCCCAGCAGGAGGCTATGAAGGAGGAACATCAGAAGAGCGAGCATATTGTGGGACAGGTTTCCTCCTTCGACTATGATAGTCGTGGATTATTGACGCTACACCGCAGGGTGTGGGTTCCATACCACGGGGTGTGCGCCAGGTTCTGATGGTGGAGGCGCACAAGTCCCGATTCTCAATTCATCCCGGGGCGACGAAGATGTACATAGATCTTCGACCTGACTACTGGTGGCCCTGCATGAAGCGGGACGTCGCCTGGTACGTAGAGCGATGCTTCACCTGCAGGAAGGTCAAGGCCGAGCACCAGAGGCCGCACGGCAAGATGCAACCGCTAGACATTCCCATGTGGAAATGGGAAGATATTACCATGGACTTCATCACCAAGCTCCCCAGGACTGCACGGGGAGTGGATTCAATTTGGGTCATCGTGGATCGGTTGACCAAGAGTGCTCACTTCATACCGATCCAGGAGAGCATATCGGCCGAGAGGTTGGCCGATATCTACATCCGAGAGGTGGTGGCTCAGCACGGGGTGCCAGTTTCGGTGATTTCGGACCGAGACGTGCGGTTTACTTCCAGATTCTGGAAGAAGTTTCACGACGAGTTGGGTACTCGTCTGCACTTCAGCACTGCCTTCCACCCGCAGACAGATGGTCAGAGTGAGCGGACCATCCAGACTCTGGAGGATATGCTGCGGGCGTGTGTTTTAGACTTCGGAGGTAGTTGGGATACTTACCTTCCTTTGGCCGAGTTTTCCTATAATAACAGCTATCATACGAGTATCGATCGTCCTCCCTTTGAGATGTTGTATGGGAGGAAGTGCATGACCCTGATATGTTGGGGTAAAGTCGGACAGAGGTTCATGGGGAGCACCGAAATGGTGCTCAAGACGACAGAGAGGATTCAACAGGTTAGGATTAGGCTTCAGACTGCTCAGATTCGACAGAAAATTTATACCGATAAGCGCCGTTCGGACTTGGAGTTCCAGGTCGGGGATATGATCCTCCTGAAGGCGTCGCCTTGGAAAGGCGTCATTCGATTCAGGAAGCGGGGCAAGTTGGGCCCCAAGTATATTGGACCATTCAGGGTTGTCGCCCGGGTGGGCAAGGTGGCGTATAGGCTGGACTTGCCAGCCGAACTCATTCAGATTCATAGCACGTTTCACGTCTCCCAGTTACGGTAGTGCCCGGTGGACGATTCGGCAATGGTGCCCTTGGAGGATATTCAGGTGGATGACAGCCTGAACTACATCGAGCGGCCAGTGGCGATCCTTGACAGGAAGTCGAAGGATCTGAGGAACAAGAGGGTGGAGCTAGTGAAGGTGCAATGGCAGCACCGCAAGGGGTCGGAATGGACTTAGGAGCCGGAGGAAGAGATGAGGGAGCACTACCCCGAGCTTTTTCCAGATTCAGCAGCAGACTTTGAGGAAGAAGTCAAAAATAAGTGGGGGAGATTTGTAGCACCCGATCCCTGGTACGTATCTAAATTCAAGAAATATTGCAATTTACTCTGGGACTCGGCGAGTTGGAGGCCCAACTTGTCGAGTAGACCCGACTGTTGATCGGGGGTTTAAGTGACCTGCTCGACGAGTCGGAAGACCGACTCGACGAGTAGGAGCTATCTGGACAAAACCCTAATATTTAGGCTTTGCACCCAATTTAAACAACTTAACTCGTCCCAAACCAACCTCCATCGTCCCTCTCACTTCCAGAATACCATAACTCGAAACCCTAGCCTTAGTTGAGTGCTCTCAAGCCATTTTGTGCATCTTTTTGTGTGTTTGAAGTTGGAGAAGGAGAAGAAATTTTGGAAGTTCAACTAGAAGCAAGGAGATCCAGAAGTTTTACTCTATTTTCAATTCATTTGAGGTAAAAGCTGGAACCTTGACCATCTATCTCTTAGATTTTGTTTTGGGGTTGTTTCTACCCTTTTAATGAGTATAGAGAAGCAAAAATCGAATTTTGTGGATGTGCTTAGAGTTGCACTCCGGATCTGGGGCTATTGGGGGTCTTTATGGCATAAAGATGCCAACTTTGTTGCCATAAACACCCCATGCATCTTGAACACCTCCTTTTATGGCTTTTTGAGCCAAAGGCCCCATGTATGTACATCAAGTTTGAAGCTTTGCGTATAAATTAGACCCTAGGAGGCAAGATCTATGGTTTTGACGTGTTAAGACCCATTATAATCGACTGTATAATGTTGGACAAAGAGGGACTCAGCGAGTCACTTGGGTGACTCGGCGAGTCGGGACGCTTTTTCCCCAAAAAAGACTTCTGGAAATGGTTTTGGTTGAGTGGAAGGAACACTCAGCCTGTGATGATATATGGTCCATTGGCATGGCCTAGACTTCTCTAGCGCGCTAGCCTGGCCTGGCGCACTCCTGCCAGCCCTGCCTGGCATTCCCTTGCCAGCCTTGCTGGGGACTCCCTTGCCAGCCCTGTTGGGGACTCTCCTGCCGGCCCGGCCAGGCGCTCCCTCGCCTGATGCTCCCCTGCCATCCTTTCCTGGCACGCGCCCGCCAGCCCTGCCCTACGCCTCCGGGCGGCCTTGCCCAGCTCCTTGCTAGCTGGGCCTGAATTGGGCTGGCCCAAGGCCTGACCCAATTCCCCTTGACCTAATTATCCACTATAAATAGAATAGTGCCTCCTCCATGAAGGGGGGCCCTTCCCCAAGTGGCTCTCAGCCACCACTAGACCCCATGGCTCAGCCGCCACTATACTCCGGTCGGGTGGCTCAGCCGCCACCCGCCTCCGTCAACCACCAGCACCAAGATGGTTCTCTCTAGCTATGGAGGACCATCTCAGATCTTCTAGCTGATCTAACTTGATCGTCGGAGTCCGCTCCCGGGGCACAGTCCCTGGGGCGGCTCTAACGACTTTGCACTGTGATATCCAGATCTCCGCCGCAACAGAAGACCAGAAGACTCGCCGGAGGTCGTTGACGCATCATTTGGCGTCATCCCGGATTCGAGCAAGTAGCAAAAGCCTCAGTTGGTCTCAAGCTCGTTTTTGCCCAGATCCCTTCAGATCTGATGTGTTCTCATCTAAGGTTTGCTCAGATCTGTTCAGTTCTACATTCCTTAGTTCAGATCCGTTTGGATCTTGTCAAAAATCTACCCAGATCTGATTAGCTATGTTTCGGATCTTTCGATCTGATGCACCTTTTGTTCAGATTTGTAGATCTACTTCATTTTTAGCTCAGATCTTTAGATCCAAACGTTTTTGTTCACTTAATCACCTCTCAAGTTCAAAAACACCAACTCAGACCCATTTTTACTGATATTTTCGGGGAGAGAAGAGGTTTTTAGGAGCTCTTCTCCATCTTTGTTCATATTTTGGTGCTTTATCCAAGCAACTTGAGAGTTGAAGAACATTTTGGTTACTTTATTTCAGTCTATGTTATAGAGAAATCATCTTCAATTTATGGTTTCTTTGCAAAACTCTTTCAAAGTTGTCTATTTTCTTTAAAAGATTAGAAAATGAAACAAAAATTTCTCAGATCTGTTTGTTGCTCATATTTTGATAGCTTGTTGAGCAAGTTGTAGAGGAAAAAGGTTTTATGAGAAGGAAACCGCATCAGATCCGTTTTGCCTTTGCCAAGATCTGTTTAAGAACCATTTGGTTCTTGCCAAGATCTTTTCAGATCTATCTTAGAATCATTTGGCCTTTCAAACATTCCCCAAGCTTGCAAAAACCTTTTTAAATCCGTTTTTGTTTATATGTTGGGGGTTTGTTGAGCAACTTCAGAAAAAAGAAATTTTTATGAGTTTTTACTTCATTTTCTGTTTATATGTTACAGAAAAACGATTTTAGTTTAGATTTTCTATAAAGAACTTCAATTCCTGAAGCATTTATTTGTACATACAGCTGTGTAGCTGGTACATTTTACAAAACCCTTTCAGGAAAAGAAAAGAGAAAAGAAGTCTTTATGGGTTTTTACCCATCTCTGTTCATACCTTTTAAGAAAATCTCATTCGTGATTTTCCATGAACAAGTTGATTTAATTTGTTTAGAATCTAGAAGGAAGAAAATAAGTTTCTATAAATTTTTTATCCTCTCAAACTTTCAGAAAACATATTTTTATCTCTTATCAGTTTTGACATTCTTTTTGATGACTTACGAGAAATGTTGGGAAGAAAGAAAGCTTTTATAAATTTTACCGTCTTCCAATTAATATATTATTAAAACTTCATTTTAGTAATGAGTTTATGTGTATAAGTTTGATTAAGTTGTGTTGTAATCCTTATACATTTAAAGACACTGGTAAAGTAATTTTTACCATCAGTAGATGGTTTTAAAAAAAAAAAGAGAGAGTAGAGATGAAGTGTTGAAAGAAAGCACTCAGTAAAAAAAGAAGAGAAAGGAGACGGATATACAAAATTTAATGGTGTTTCCTTTTCATATCAACGAAAAAATGAGATACAACAGCTGTATACAACTCTCTGTTGTTTCATGGCCGACCAAAAAAAAGCGGAGGAGGTGGTAATTAGCTATACCATCTACTATTATCTTTCCTGTCAATTACATAGAGGGCCCCACGAATACAGAAGACTATTAAAAGTCAATTGAAAACACAAAAGACCACAGGTGGGCCCCACCTGTCTCACTCGCCTCCATCAAACAGAAGACGCGGTGGTCCGATGACCACCTTCTCCGGTCGACCCCCTTCCATCTCTCTTCCCAGAGGTGGTCTCTCGAGACTAGCCGGCAACGAAATCCTTCAAATTGCCATCTCCATTCCGACCCAGCAACCTTTGATCATCGATCACCAGCGCCAAGAATCGGCGACCCACTTGGTCCATGACCATTTTGAGAGCAGTCAACGACCGTCGAACGACATATCGCCGCCACAATTAGGCAGCCGGCGACGCCCACTGAACCACCGAGCAGTTGCCCTCGTTCCCCGTCGGCAACAATCTGTCATTACCGGTCGATAAAAGCTAAAAAAAAGAAAAAAAAAAGAAGATTAGCTGATAAGTCAGCAAAGAAAAGCAAAAAAAAAAGAGGGGGAACCGATCCCCACCTGAATCATCTTCTTCACCAGGAAGTTATTGGAAATCAATTTACTCCAAATCTGGTTTAACTCATCCGGTAGCAGGTCACCGGAGCCATTACCGGCCGATCCCAGCTCATCGAGAAGACTATCTGGAACATCCAACTCCACCACCCACCTTAAGCACAGGTGACGAAGAACCTCCAGCTCCGGCGAGGTAGCATCCGTTGGCTCTTGTTTCTTGACTCGACGCCGACGACCTGATCCAAAACAACACCTTTAGCAGATCCCCTGTTCTCTCAAATCTTCGCTGGGAATTAAATCCAAAAACAAGAAAAGAAGTTGGGCCTATTCCATCAAATGGTCACAATACTATATTTGGGTTGCATCATTCGATTTGGGCCCCACATGTGGTACATAGATCTAATTCGTTTCTCATAATTAACTCACAAAAAATGGGGAAGTAATTGTGGGCTTAGCAGCACAATTCGAAAGAAGCACCTGGCCCAAATTCAAGAATGAGTTCTAGAGGTCTCATTTTGGGCCCTCTCAAGTAACCTTTTATTTTGTTGACTCAAATTAGCCAAGCAGTCGTTCAACCGCTCCTGCTGCGTTTTCCCCAACAAAATACGTTTTTAGAAAATGCATTGCGGCCGGGACCACTCGAAATTAAAAAAAAAAAGGAGACGTGGGCCTAATAAACTACATTTGCGTTTTGGGCTCCTATCAATTCGGCTATCTAATATTTTTGCCTACCTCAATGATTAATTTGGTCATTTTTACAAAAAATATTTTATCAAGCAGCCACCCGAGGCTCGTATGCGGCGATCTCGCTCAACAAAATTTAGATCGCAAGGATGTGTTAACCATCCAAAGCCACTCAACGTTTCAAAAAAAAAAGAAGGGGAGGGAGAAGAGTAGTACGCTACTACTCGTGATGCATTCCGAAATAACCCTCAGCAGCAGCGCTGCCCGGCTACCAGTAGTCGTGTTGACCAGCTTTAGGCAGTCTCGCTACTCAGCTATCGCCACTCACGTTGATCGGCCACGCCAATCTCGCTATTCGGCTCTCAATAGTCGCGCCGCATGGATCTTAGCGGTCGCGCAGCCTGACCCTCAGTAGCAATGCGGTCCAGCACAATAGCGGCAAAGCCCAGTCATCAACAGTTGTGTCGTCTGACCAACAATCGTGCTACCCGGCTATTATTAGCAGCTATATGACGGTCATTTCCCTTTTCCTCGTCTTATCTAAGAAAAAAAATGGGGGGGGGGGGGTTGGCACGACACTATGCAGAAGTCATTTTTATTCTGAAGGAGCAGAGTTAAAGTACATGAAAAGCTAATGCTATGCATGATGGTGCCTCCCCGAGGTGACATTGGTATTCCGGATTGAAAGAGTAGCCTCGTGGTCCAACTCTTGGTAGTCTTGTTGCCTAACTCTCAATAGTCGTGTTACTCACCTATCGCTAGCAGCTCGCTGCCCGGGCCTCAGCGACCCTGCTAACTAGTTCATGACAGCAGTTTCGCTACGCACCTCCTAACAACAGCTACACGATCAAGCTCTAAGTAGCACCGCCACATAGCTCTCCGCAAACAGCCAAGACACTGAGGCATCAATTATTAGTACGACTAGCGAGGCAGCAAAGCATCAGGTACCATTCCGCTTTAACCCAGACTGGTCACACGAGCTAGACACATAGATTGTAGGATGCTACGCCTAGTCATGCGAGGTTCAGTACCCTCGTCTCGAGTCGCTTGGCTTCTCAGCCCGACTCCATTATAGCGGCAAGCTCCGCATGCGAGGTTCAGTACCCTCGTCTCGAGTCGCTTGGCTTCTCAGCCCGACTCCATTATAGCGGCAAGCTCCGCATGCGAGGTTCAGTACCCTCGCCTCGAGTCGCTTGGCTTCCTAGCCCGACTCCATTATAGCGGCAAGCTCCGCATGCGAGGTTCAGTACCCTCGCCTCGAGTCGCCTGACTTCTCAGCCCGACTCCATTATAGCGGCAAGCTCCGCATGCGAGGTTCAATACCCTCGCCTCGAGTCGCCTGGCTTCTCATCCCGACTCCATTATAGCGGCAAGCTCCACATGCGAGGATCAGTACCCTCGCCTCGAGTCGCCTGGCTTCTCAGCTCGACTCCATTATAGCGGCAAGCACCGCATGCGAGGTTCAGTACCCTCGCCTCGAGTCGCCTGGCTTCTCAGCCCGACTCCGTTATAGCGGCAAGCTCCGCATGCGAGGTTCAGTACCTTTGCCTCGAGTCGCCTGGCTTCTTAGCCCGACTCCATTATAGCAACATGCTCCGACCATTCCACGCGACGCTCTTCCGCGTGACTTATCTACGATCGTTGGAAGCCAAGCCCAATCCATTCCACGCGATGCTCTCCCGCGTGATCTATCTACGATCACTAGCAGCCAAGCCCAATCCATTCCACGCGATGCTCTCCCGCATAACATCTCCATGATCATTGGCTGCTAAGCTCAAGCTACTCTCCTAAGTCGTGCAACATAAGTCGCGCATCGTCGTGCACCATAAGTCACGCATCACAAGCTTATTCCACACCATGATCTTGGTGCTTCCTCTCTCACAGTCATCATGGTTCTCTTGTGCTCGGACGATCGATGAAGTGTTATCTACATTACATCATGCTATAGTGAGGATACTCTCTAGCAAGAAGGTCATCCCGAAAGTGGCCCTGCTACCTACGACCCCACAACATCTCTGTTTCCTGGCTCTCGGAAACGGTCTTGCTGCGTAACCCGACCTGTAGCCTCACCGCGTACCCCACAGCATCTCTGTTTCCTGGCTCCCGGAAATTAACTCGCTGTGCAACCCTACCTGTAGCCTCGCCGCGTACCCTACATCACCTCTGTTTCCTGGCTCTCGGAAACGGTCTTGCTATGCAACCCCAACCTATAGCCTCACTGCCTATCCCTCAACAATTATGTTGTCTGGCTATCGACAATAGTCTCGCTATGTGACCCTCGCTAGCAACCTAATCGCACAGCTCTTGGAATCCCTTCCACTTATATTTTGGTCAACAACCTTCGGTCTATTGGTTTGACAACATAGTCTGACACGGCTACCTACGCTACCCACATCAGACTGGGGGGAATCCAGCTAGGTGTAGCCCGAGCAAGAAAGACCCTCAAGACGGTTATTAATGCAGACTATGTAGATGGTTACTGGTGACATCCCATCTCGCACGGCTACCACAACAATCACGTCGGATAACAGTCTCAGAGACTATATGACGAGGTTATGCTTCTTAGCTACCCCGATCCGACATTCCACCGACATCAGTGTCACGTAACACTCTTTAGCAGCCCCGCTCCGCAATAAAATTATTTGTAGCTTTGCTCTACATGACCGCAGCAACAGTTACGTTGCGTTGCACCGATCAGCTCACACTCCTCTCAAGGAAGGAGGATCAAGTCAGCTCAAGCTGCATAAGAAGTGTTTGGCTCATCGCACAACCCCACGGCTCTCGTGGGCGAGGTTCGGTCATTCTCTCTATTATTTAAATTCTTTGATGCTTTATCTAGTCCGATCCGATTGTCAGCAACCCAATCGCATCAGACTAGGGGGACTTGACGACGCACAGTTTATATGACTAGTTCCAGTCCGATGTCATTGGTCGCGTACCAATAACACCAGACTGGGGGGACTTGATGATATATGGTCCATTGGCATGGCCTAGACTGCTCTAGCGCGCCAGCCTGGCCTGGCGCGCTCCTGCCAGCCCTGCCTGGCGTTCCCTTTCCAGCCTTGATGGGGACTCCCTTGCCAGCCCTGTTGGGGTCTCTCCTGTCGGCCCGGCCGGGCGCTCCCCTGCCAGCCTTTCCTGGCGCGCCCCCGCCAGCCTTGCCTGGGACGCCCGCCAGCCCTGCCCGGCGCCTCCGGGTGGCCTTGCCCAGGTCCTTGCTAGCTGGGTCTGAATTGGGCTGGCCCAAGGCCTGACCCAATTCCCCTTGACCTAATTATCCACTATAAATAGAATAGTGCCTCCTCCATGAAGGGGGACTCTTCCCCAAGTGGCTCTCAGCCACCACTAGACCCCATGGCTCAGCCGCCACTATACTCCGGCCGGGTGGCTCAGCCGCCACCCGCCGCCGTCAACCACCAGCACCAAGATGGTTCTCTCCAGCTATGGAGGACCATCTCAGATCTTCTAGCTGATCTAACTTGATCGTCGGAGTCCGCTCCCGGGGCACAGTCCCTGGGGCGACTCTAACGACTTTGCACTATGATATCCAGATCTTCGCCGCAGCAGAAGACCAGAAGACTCGCCGGAGGTCGTTGACGCATCAGCCTGTAAGGGGTTTGTTTTGGAACTGGAAATCATAGGACTCGACGAGTGTATGAACAGACTCGGCGAGTCCAAGGCAATCTCCCAACCCTTGAAGACGGACTCGACGAGTTGTTCATACAACTTGGTGAGTCATAGACTGAACACGTTCGTATGAGGGAGATGAACTCGACGAGTTTAAAGGGAACTCGACGAGTCGGTTGAAGATGGTCCCGATACTATGAATGAAGGCGAACTCGTCGAGTTCTTGCTAGACTCGACGAGTAGAGTCGGGGGTGGTATCACTTTGAAAGGATAGGGACTCGACGAGTTGGTGGACCAACTCGGCGAGTCAAGTCAACTGGATGTTGACTTTGACTAGGGTTTGACCTTGACTTTGACTTGGATTAGGATTGACCCTTATGAGGGTTATGAGTATGCAATAGTAATCGGAAAAGGGTTGTTGTGTAAGGGTTGGGGAGTAAAGACGAGTCGATTCCCATGCCGAGGACCGTGCAGATACTACACGACATCGGGGTGAGTTACCTTCCAGTAGGAGTGGGTCTACGGCCACAATGCCGGCCCACTAGTAGGAGTTGTTTGTTAGATGACTATCTTTGTGACAATTATACGATGTGGTTATCTGATATGCTTTATGTGTTAGGATGCTATGACATATGTGCTTGTAGTGGTAGGGGGGACATAGCCCTAGTTACCGGTTGAAAGATACCGAAGGGGTAGATAGTACCCATGCATGCCTAGCAGTGTGATCATGATATGTTATCAGCATGTTGATGATATGTTATTATGTGATAGTGGTAGGGGTTAAATAGTCCCCGGTTACTGGTTGGATGATACCGAAGGGGAGGTTAGCTCCCGGTTACCGGTTGAAAGATACCGAAGGGGAGGAGATTCTCGGTTACCGGTTGGAAGATACCGAGGGGGAGCCCAGCTCCCAGTTATGCCAGACAGATACCGGTTGAAAGATACCGAGGAATAGGCATTATGTGGTATGTGGTATGATGGGGGAACTCACTAAGCTTCGTGCTTACAGTTTTCAGTTTTGTTTCAGGTACCTCTTCGGCGAAGGGGAAAGAGCTGGCGCGGTAGCGGCACATCACACTCACACATGATTCCGCATTTATTTTTCTGGGATTGTACTCTGATTTTTATTACTATTGATGATATGGTTTTGAGACACTTTGTTACAGTTTTATAAATTGTTATGACATTGGCAATGTTTTTGGG